TTTTTAATATAAAAATACTTCAATAAATATAAAAAGTAATATTTATGTAAGCTTTTATAGATAATAGATATCGAATTCCTATATACGAAACAAAAAAATTAATTCATCGTCATTTTATATTTTTATTAATTTTTATTAATTTTTTAATAAAGTATTTATAATTATAAATCTTTATATTTATGTAACATTTCTTTTTTATCGTTAGTCGTAAATACTGGCGAGATTTCGTTAAAAAAATTGAAATACTCCGTGTATATTTCAGAAATGTTAATTTTTGAAAAAATATCGATAAAATAATTATTAACCATACATAAAACGTATATTTTTTTTATAACAGAAACGATGAATTTATTTTTTAAATACGCGATATAAATAAGTATCACATTTTTTATACAAATAAAATTTTCGTTTTTATTTATAACTATTATACGCTTTTTTTTATCACCCATTACGTATAAAGTGCAGTAATATATAATACATTTTTCGTTTACATCTTTATATATCGACAAAATAGTAAACGTAATATAATTACAATAATGCTCACGGGAGCGTCCGCAAAGAATCTTATTTTAGGAGATATCATCGCGAGTAGATATTTCAAAAATTCGAGCGAGCATAGCAGAAAACGTAAAAATATGAAACTTAATACAATAAGAATCGAAACTCGGCACAAACATATTATAACGATGATGGTATTATAAAATTAAATAATAGATATAGTCGATAACAGATGCTCTTGCAAGCATTAATGTATCTCGCATTTGTGATTTTGTACAGATAACTTTTTTGTACACAAAAATCAAATTCTTTCTTTCAATTCTTTAGAAATTATTTAATTTCAATCTAAAGTCAATAATAAATAAAAATAAACCAATATCATAAAATATAGAATTTTTATATCTATATATGAAATTCATTTAAATAATACGTATGTATTCATATACTTGTATATCCATAAAAAGATACAAGAGATAAACATCATATATATTCAATTAAAATTGAATATTTCTTCTTCATTCTTAAAAATTTATAATATAATCGCAGTCGTAAATTAATACAATAAAATGCAAAATTTCTTAACAAATAGAACAAAAAATATTTCTCGTTACTTGAGGTCACATTAATGGTGGTCCCGTATATTTAAGACTTCCAGAATAGAAATCCGGTGGACCTTCAATCACCATTAATTTAACTTCTTCGACTATATCTGGTGAATCCGTACATAATTCAGAACTACCAATAGTTTTGAAAAATGTACATGGTCTTGGACCCTTTCCAGATTCATCCACATCATACGGTGGACTAAGTATATCCAAAAATGCAGCAGGTCCTTCAATACATGTAATTTCATGCAAATTTTTATCTCTCGGTGTAAGAGTACAAGCAGGTGAATTACTATGTAAAGATATCGGCTTATGTCCAAATGCCATAACTTCTTCATTTAATCTAATCGTACGATCCTCATTTGCTTTTAAAGTATAATTATTTACTTGAACCACACCACTGATTACCTATATTTTAAAAGAAAATAAAAAAACATTAATTTTACATAGCATACATATTTTTAAAAATTTTATGACATTACAAACCTTTAAAAATCCATACATTCCAGGATGATCATGAATCGGCATCGTAAATCCGTGTTTCAATATAAAAATTGAAATAGCAAAGTCTTTGTTTTCAAATATATCGATAACCCACATCGGTGCATGTTGCACTTGAATAAAATCAAGAATTTGTTTATTCAGATTTACATCTTCGGCCGTAATTTTATTCATTAAATACCGCAATTTGTCAAAATTTTTTTGGCAAAGTTTAAATCCTACGTTACTTCGTTCTTCGAACGTATTTAACGCTTGTTTCCATAACGTTTTAATCGCTGCCGTCATATTTATTTATTTTCTAATACGATTTCTATGAATTTACCTTTCGTAAATCATATTAATATATCAATAATATATTTAAAAATATAAACAAATTTAACATCGCTACGAATAAATAATACGTAACCTTAACGATCATAACATTGAAAGTTTAAAATTTGACGTTAAAAATAAAAAAAAATATTGATCGTTCGAAATAAATAAATATTTTAATAAATACCATTCGATTATTACATATAAATTATTTTCGTTGTTGTCGAAAGTTATTTCGTATTTAGAGGTTAAATGAATCGCACGTTTATTTTTCACTATATCGTTATGTTTCTTACTTTTTGATAATTATTTCTCCATCACTCTTTATAAAAGAATATACATTATTAATTTTTCAATTATCAATCCGATCGCTAAAAATACTCTACTTTGATATCAAACTTCGTTAGAAATAGCTACGCGACTTGATCCAATAGATGATATCGTAAACATAAGTGAAGTTTCAATATTTAATAAAAGTCATTAATATTTAATGACTTTTATTTTTTACATTAAAAACTTATACAATAAATATTATTATTAAACTTATACAATGAATATTAAAATCGAGGAAAATAATCTACATTAATTGATATATTAGTTTATATGATTGATTAGTTTTATTTAAATGAATAAATTTTTTTAGATTTTTAATGGAATATATAATTATGAAAGTATATAATTATGA